ATTCGCACTTCCTGGTTAGAATTGCTTTTGCTATTCTGGGTCTTTTATTTTTCCATATGAATTTCATGATTGCTTTTTCCATTTCTACAAGAAATGCCGTTGGGATTTTGATTGGCATTGCATTAAACCTATAGAGAACTTTTGGTAATATCGCCATTTTGATGATGTTAGTTCTGCCTATCCATGAACAGGGTATATTTTTCCATCTTCTAAGATCTTCTTCTACTTCTCTTTTTAGGGTTTTGTAGTTTTCATTGTATAAATCTTTCACCTCTTTTGTTAGGTTGATTCCCAAGTATTTTATTTTTTTTTGAGGATATGGTGAATGGAGTGTTTTTCCTCATTTCCGTTTCAGAGGTTTTGTCGCTGATATACAGAAATGCCTTTGATTTATGCGTGTTGATTTTATATCCTGCCACTTTGCTGAATTCATTTATTAGTTCTAGTAGTTTTTTTGTAGACCCTTTTGGGTCTTCTAGGTATAGAATCATGTCATCTGCAAATAGTGATAATTTAAGTTCTTCTTTTCCTATTTTTATGCCTTTAATTTCTTTCGTCTGTCTAATTGCTCTGGCCAGTGTTTCGAGAACTATATTGAATAGAAGTGGTGATAGAGGGCATCCCTGTCTTGTTCCAGATTTTAGGGGGAATGCCTTCAATTTTTCTCCATTCAGAATGATGCTAGCCTGAGGCTTAGCATAGATAGCTTTTACAATGTCGAGGTAAGTTTCTGTTATCCCTAGTTTTTCTAATGTTTTGAACATAAAGGGATGCTGTACTTTGTCGAATACTTTTTCTGCATCTATTGAGATGATCATATGGTTCTTATTTTTAAGTCTATTGATGTGGTGAATAACATTTATTGATTTCCGTATATTGAACCATCCTTGCATCCCAGGGATGAATCCTACTTGATCATGGTGCACAATTTTTTTGATGTGCCTTTGTATCCGATTCGCCAGAATTTTATTGAGGATTTTTGCATCTAGGTTCATCAGAGATATTGGTCTGTAGTTTTCTTTCTTTGAGGTGTCTTTGTCTGGTTTCGGAATCAGGGTGATGTTGGCCTCATAGAATGAATTTGGCAGAGCTCCTTCTTTTTCTATTTCCTGAAATAACTTGAAAAGTATTGGTATTAATTCTTCCTTAAAGGTTTTGTAAAACTCCGCTGTATACCCATCCGGTCCTGGGCTTTTCTTGGTTGGAAGTCTTTTGATTGCTTCTTCTATTTCATCTATTGTTATTGGTCTGTTTAAGTTGTGAGTATCCTCCTGACTCAGTCTGGGCAAATCATATGACTTAAGGAATTTATCAATGTCTTCACTATCTTCTATTTTATTGGAATATAGGTTTTCAAAATAATTTCTAATTGTCTTCTGTATTTCTGTAGCGTCTGTTGTGATATTGCCTTTTTCATCCTGTATGTTAGTAATTTGAGTTCTCTCTCTTCTTCTCTTCGTTAGCATGGCTAAGGGTCTGTCGATCTTATTTATTTTTTCAAAGAACCAACTTTTAGTTTTGTTAATTTTTTCAATGGTTTCTTTTGTTTCAATTTCATTGATTTCCGCTCTGATTTTAATTATTTCTTGACTTCTGCTACATTTGCTGTTGTTTTGCTCTTCCTTTTCTAGGGCTTTGAGATGAAGTGTGAGCTCATTTATTTGTTGGTTTTTCCTTTTTTTGAGGAATGACCTCCAAGCGATGAATTTCCCTCTTAAAACTGCTTTCATTGTGTCCCATAGATTCCGATATGTTGTGTCTGTATTTTCATTTATCTCTAAGAATTTTTTGATTTCCTCCTTTATGTCTTCTGTAACCCATTGATCATTCAGTAACATATTGTTCATTTTCCATGTGATGTAGGATTTTTCCTTCCGTCTTTTATCATTGATTTCCAGTTTCATTCCATTATGATCAGATAAAATGCATGGTATTATCTCCACCCCTGTATATTTACTGAGGGTTGCCCTATGGCATAATATATGGTCTATTTTTGAGGAGGATCCATGTGCTGCTGAGAAAAAAGTATATCCACTTGATGATGGTTGATATATTCTATATATGTCAGTTAAGTCTAGGTTGTTGATTGTGATATTGAGTTCTATAGTTTCTTTATTCAGCTTTTGTTTGGAGGATCTGTCCAATTGTGAGAGAGGTGTGTTGAAGTCACCCATAATTATTGTGTTGTGGTCTATTTGATTCTTGAACTTGAGGAGAATTTGTTTTATGAACGTCGCAGCACCATTATTTGGTGCATAAATATTGATAATTGTTATGTCTTGTTGGTGAATGGTTCCTTTTAACAGTATATAATGTCCTTCCTTATCCCTTTTGATTAACTTAGTCTTGAAGTCGATTTTATTCGATATGAGGATGGCCACCCCTGCTTGCTTACGAGGACCGTGTGCGTGGTATATTTTTTCCCAACCTTTCACCTTCAGCCTGTGTATGTCTTTTCCAATCAGATGTGTCTCCTGGAGGCAGCATATTGTTGGATTTGTTTTTTTAATCCATGTTACCAGCCTATGTCGCTTTATTGGAGAGTTTAAGCCATTAACGTTTAGAGTTACTATTGATATATGATTTGTACTTCCAGCCATGTTTGATTATTTATCTTTTTCTTTTTTTTTTTTTAATTTAGTTTGTTTCTCCATGGTTAGCTTTCCCCCCGCCCTCTGTCTTTATAGAGGCACTTTCCACTGATGGTTTTGGTTATTGTTTTTCATTTCTTCCTCGTGTAGTGTTTTGCTCAAGATGCTTTGCAATGCTGGTTTTCTGGCTGCAAATTCTTTTAGCTTTTGTTTATCATGAAAGATTTTTATTTCGTTGTCGTACCTGAAGCTTAATTTTGCTGGATACAGAATTCTTGGTTGGCATCCATTGTCTTTCAGTGTTTGAAATACATTGTTCCAGGACCTTCTCGCTTTCAGCGTCTGTGATGAAAAATCCGTTGTTAACCTTATTGGTTTACCCCTGAATGTAATCTGCCTCCTTTCTCTTGTAGCTTTTAGTATTTTCTCTTTGTTCTGTATATTGGATATCTTCATAACAATGTGTCTTGGCGTTGGTCTACTGTGATTTTGTGTGCTCGGTGTCCTGTATGCATCTACAATTTGTATATCCGTTTCCTTTTTTATTTCTGGAAAGTTTTCTGTAATTATTTCATTCAGCAGGCTACTCATTCCCTTGGTTTGAATCTCTGTACCTTCTTCTATCCCGATGACTCGTAGGTTTGGTTTTTTATGTTATCCCATATCTCTTGGATGTTTTTCTCGTGGTTTTTAACCAGCCTTTCTGAGTTGGCTAGCCTCTTTTCAAGATGATATATTTTGTCTTCATTATCTGATGTTCTGGCTTCTACTTGCTCCACTCTGTTGGTGATACTTTCAATTGAGTTTTTAATTTGGTTTATCGTTTCCTTCATTTCTAGAATTATTGTTTGGTTTTTTTTTTATAATCTCTATCTCCTGATAAAGATGCTTAACTTCTTCTTTTATCTGTTTATGTAATTGATTTTCAAAGTGTTCTTTCACTGTTTGGATTTGCCGTCTCGTATCTTCTTTAAGGTTCCATTCCATTTGTGTAAAGTATTCCTTGAGTTCTTTATATGACCATTTTTCTGCTGACTCTAGGTCCTCCTGAATATTTAGGCTGTCCTTCATTGTTTGTACTCCTTTTCTTCCTTGCTTTTTTATGCTTCTCATGTTACTTCTTGTTCTGTTTGACTGCTGAGTTTCTGTTTACTCTTATAAATTTATTTGATGCTTGGGAGGAAAGATATTAGAAGGGAAGGGAAGAAGTCACTAAAGAGAATGAGAGTAGGCAGGTAGAATTCAAGGAAGGGGAAATAAGAAAATTGAAAAGAAATGAAAAGACAAAAGAAACAAAAATAACAAAGATTAGATAATAAAGAAAGAAAGAAAAGACGAGAAAAAAAATTTAACAAAAATAATAATGATAATAAAAAAATGAAAATTAAAATTTAAAAAAAATAATAATAATAAAATAAAAAAATTTAAAAAAATTAGAAACATTGAAAAAAAGTTAAAGAACAACAACAAATAAAAATTGAAAATGAAAGAAAAAGAAGAAAAAAAAAGAAAAAGAAAAAAAAATGATAATAATAATAATAATAAATGCAGTCCTAGAGTTCTATTAACTTCTCTTCCAGTAGGTGGAGCTGTGCCCACTGGGCCAAGCTTCTCCTCTCAATAGGTGGGAACCATTCACTGTGCAGCAGCTCTTTCTCCTAGACTGGGCAGGTCTCCAATCCTGAGTGTCTAGGGCCTTGTCTTGTGTTTCCTCAAGCCAGGCCGTGCTCACCTGTGGTGCTCACCACAATACTGGCTACACGCCAGGTCTGCTGCTCCTGGGAGCCCTGTTTTCATGAACACCTGGGCTCACTCTCCCTTTTTGCCTCCCTCAGACCCTAAGTTTGTAGAGCTTGGGGCTGAGATCCCCCAGTGAATTTGCTTGCCCTCCTGTAGCCACGCCCCCGGTAGCTGGTGCAAGAGCCCTCAGTTGTCAGCACTGGTGGGAGCGGTAGCCGGGAGTTCCGCGCCGCGAGTCCCGCGCCACTCCTGATTCCCTCGGTCTGGCTATGGAGCTCACAGGAGAGCTGGAAGTGGCCCTTAAGGTTTCCCTGCTGTGTGGAGAGAGATGACTAGGGGATTACACACCTGTCGCGCTGGTTTCAATGCAGTTATCTCCTCCGCCCGTGACGCCATTTCTCTGCCATGGTGGTTTCCCATGCAAATGGTGACCGTTCGTTCCCTTTGCCGGGTGACCAATGCAACGGGTGGGTCCTGACTGTCTCTCCCAATCCCCGTTTCAGTCCTGTGGCCACTGCCTATGAAGTGTTTTTACAAAGAAAAACACTTTAAAACATGCAGTTATAGAATTGACCATTCTAGATCTTTCCCATATAATGTGACAGCATCTTAAGATATGATAAGATTTTATCATAATTATGATAAGATTTTTTGTTACTTCTCTTACAGGTATATTTTGAATCAATGTTCCTTGGTCATGTCCCTGAAAATATAAAGATCCATAAGCATATGGGCCATATTCAGGGGTTCCAGGGCTGCATTAGAGAACTTCAAGTAGACAACAAAGAATTCTTCATTATTGATGAAGCACTTCGTGGGAAGAACATCAAGAACTGCCATGTGCCCTGGTGTGCTCGTCATCTATGCCATAACAATGGCACTTGCATCAGGTCAGTGCCAGCATCTTCATCCCTGATTTCTATTGCATGACTCCAGATTCTTAAAACAGCAAAAGTCAGAAGCATTGTCAATGGGGTAATAGAAAAGAAAGACTTGGAACCCCAAATTCTTATAATGCACACATGTGGTACACATTTATTTGCTCAGAGAAACTTGCACACTGTGGGTCCAGTGACAAGAGATTTCCAAACTCTGAAAATAATAAGGTAAATGCACCCAATTTGGAAACTATCAAAATGTATCCAAGTTTTAATGTAGGTGTTACCATTTTTTGCAAATATGAATAAGAGATTGTTATCCATCGATGATTATTTGATACATTAATGAATTTTTACTTTGTTTTTAATTCAAAAAATCCCTAGATCTCTACTATTAGAGATGAAAAATTCACCATATCTATTTTTATTTTTATTTACAATGCTATATCCATTTTCCTCCTCAAAGCAAAGATTTATCATGCTATATAAGCTTAAGAAGATCTTAATTAAAATTACTTTCTGCTTCACTAACATGTCTTCAGTGAATCAACCCTGAGGGAGTCTCATTTGGACAGTGTAGAACATATTGCTAAATTTCTCCAATCCTCTGAGAAATCTTTATTTCAGGGCTACAAATAAGGGCAGAATAGAAGCTGAAACATGTAGCGATTATAATAGTTCAAGTCAAAGGAAAATTGACCAAATCTCACAGGAAATATCTTAATTAATTCACCTCAGTGTTTCCAAGGGGCAAGCTATCAAGTAGTTAATAATGACTTCATAAAAGTAAACATCTTTGTGCATAGTGTGGAAAAAGAGAAAAAGTCTATCAAAAAGGCAGGACAAGAAATGATGGGCATAGATGGGCTCTGAAAGTAATCACTAGAATAAAAAAATGAAAAGAGAGAGAGAGAGAGAGAGAGAGAGAGGAAGAACAAAATGGTAAAGACAGAGAACAGAAGACTGCACAGGCCTGATAATGTCAAGGTGACATATATACCCGAGAATCACAGACTGACAGTAATAAATTTGAAGGAAAAAAATAAGCATGGTGCAGTGGAAAGGAAAGTGATCATCTCTTATAGTGTCTAGAAATTTGCCTTCTGACTCACTATATCTAAGTGTGTGACTTAATTTATACATTTGTACCATAAAAACAACAGTGTAAGCCTATTTAATATAATAAAATACCACAGATAAAGTGTTAAAGAACTGACCATGATAGCTTTCCTGAAGGAAACCAAAATCAAAGCTTTACTCAATAAATGGTCTCCTTCATAACCAAACCACTAATAGCAATTGTATTGTGGTGGAACCTATGAGTTGATTTTAACCAACAGAACAACCAATTGAGCAGGGTGATAGGATGTCATTTCCATAATTAGGTTACTTAGAATTCTGAGCTGCATCTCCCTTGCTGGCTTTGATGAAGCATTCAGCAGCTTTTGGGAGGCCCACATGACAAAGGCATTTAGAGCAGCCTCCAACCAGTGAGGAGCTAAGGACTGCCTCCAACTGACAGCTAGCAGATATTGAAGCCAACAAAAAGAAAATTAATTTTACAAAGAACCACATGAGCTTGGAAATAGATCCTTTCTCCATCAAGCCTTGAAGTGAGGCCCCAGCCTGACCAATACCTGGACTGCACTTTGTGAAATTATTATGCAGAGGACCCATGAGGCTGAGTTAAGAAGTATACTTTGTTTAAAGCTAAGCTTGTGGTCATATTGCTATGCAACAATAGAAAACCAATATATTCCAATTTTATACAAAAATATCAATATCTCCAACTCAGACAAGGGTTAGTTTTATTTTAAAACATTAACTCTCTGAGATATTGAAGCCAGTTATATACTAAATAAAATAAACACTGTTTGTTTTAATTAAAGAACATCATATTACTTTTAATCTTAGTTATTTAACAGGTATTTGGAAAAGATAATCATCCTAAGATTTAAAAAAATCCTAGGTTCTTTTAGACTTTATATGTTCATTTTCTTAGCTTTATTTCAACAAACATTGCCTGAGATTTAGGTATGAGCTAAGAGTGTGTAGGGGAAAAAAAATAAAAGATATATATTCAAAACAGCAATCCTGCACACAGAGAATTTTCAGTCTAATGTGGAAGCTCATTCAGCTCTTTAGGTCTCAGTGAATTTTCCCATATAAATGTACCTGTCAGTCTGCTGTTGTATACATTATATATTCTGGCCATCCATACTTATTTCTGACTTTTTCAACCTTTCAACCACTACCTCAGAGAAATCCTCTTGAATGTCAGCTGATTTTGATACACACTTTTTAAGAAATTTCACATCATATATGTGTTTTAGGCTAGACAAATGGAGATGTATCAGCTATGTACCAATGAGTAAAACACTTTTTCACATCCTATGAACAAAATGATTTCTATCTTGATTGTCAGTGTTCAACTCCATAAACTAATCCTTGCATTACTGCACAGAGACCGTGTTGGTTCATGGCAATGATGACTTTCCTTCCAGTATCCCCCTGTATATCACCATAATACACTGAAGTTGGTCAGTGCCAGAACACCAACTTGTAAAAAAAAAAAAAAAATTCTCAGAAGGCTTATAAGAGTACTGAGGGCAGGTCAAAAAAATTTGTATATGAAGAACACAGATAACTATGGACCATACATAAGATCATCAGAATAAGAATGCTTTCACCCTTACTTGTTATGTCCAAAACCTCAATACCCATCATAAACAGAGGATTCTAGAAGTCTGCAGCAAACCAAAAGTAGAACCAGAATGTCTACAGAAGATAACATAAACTCCCAATAAGGCCATAAATAGCTTCAGTCCATTACAGTAAGATGCAAAGAACTATCACCATGACCAACACCTTCCTCTGAACAGATGCATTTCCACACTTCAAATATATGGAGTAGTATAAAGTTTTCAACAGAGAAACTCTGAAATACAAAGCAAACTCCATTCTGATTCTACAAAATGAATCTTAACTATCCTAATGCTTTTGTTAACTCATTTTCCATCCATGTTGCTAGCTAAAGTGAAAGTTTTCCTTCCTCTCTGAGTTAGTCAGCTTTTCATTACTCTAACAAATTCTTAAGGTAATCAACTTATGAGGACAAAAGGTTCATTTGGCTCACAGCTTGGAGGCTCTGGTCCACGGTCTCTTGGGTCTGTGGTGAGGCTATACATTATGACGGGGAGCACATAGTGAAGCAAACTAGTCACCTCATGGCATCCAGGAATCAGAAAGAGAAAGATAAGACCATGATCCCACAATCCCCTTCAAGGGAACATCCGCACTGACCTACAACTTCCCACTAGACTCCATCACTTAAACTTTTCACACCCTCCCAATAATACCAAGCTAGGAACTAAGCCTTTAAAACATGGACTTTTGAAGAACATTCCAGATGCAAACTCTAGCACTCTCTGTCTTGCCACATTACAAAATGAATCTTTCCTGGATATCCCAGAGTCTCTTCTACATTCCCACTTTGGGTTCTGTCCTTTTTCTCAGTCCATGCCATCTGGCTCGATCTCACTGCTGAGTCTAGCCAGGCAAAGTTCTAAATGTCCTTCTTTTCTCCTGTTTGCTTAAATAGTAGATCAACTTCAGAAAGATTCATTAATATTCAACCATTCTGGATTCAAGGGGAATGGACAAGATAACCTGATGGAATTATTTTTAGGCCAGCAAGTTTTGTTGTATTTTCAAAGAAATAAACTGTTCAGAATAAAAGTCATTATTATAAACAAAATAAGAAAGCCCTTTTATATGTCTGCTTCCTTTCTCAAAATACAGAGACAATAATGTTTTAATACCAGAGTACACATGAAAATGCAAATAACAATTTATCACCACAGTTTAATTTTTCTAATCCAGTAATTCTCATCCCAAATTTGGGGAATGCCTAATAATGAGGCATTTAAGAATATTAGAGAGGAAGGCATGTTTTGATCTGTGTGTGCGTGTGTGTGCGCGCACGCACGCACACACACACACACACACTTGAACATTCTAACATGTGTTTTCTGGATGTGCACACCTATTTTCCTCAGCAAGAATAATGGTGAAAAAACAACAGATAACCCTTACAGACGTGTTCTCTAAACAGAAGTAGGGTTCTGAGTGAACAGAACTTAGTGCCATAGTGTTACATACTAGGGTTCACAAAATAAAATACAATTGCAGTGGATTTATAAACAAAATCATCATAAAATTTAGAAGCTTGGCTGATATAATTCAATGATACAAAATGCTGTCCCTGCATTGTCTATGAAGGTAATCTGCTTACAAGAAGACAAATTTCATGTTGAAAAGAACTAAGGGAAGTAACGCTTCAGGAGCTTTGCTGAGCAAATGTCATTCTGCTTTGAGTACCATCACAAGTTTCTGGACAGTGTCCAATCTTTTTTCATTTCATTATAAATCTGTGTTAGAATTTTCAAACCCCTGTGGTTGCTCATTTCGGAGAAGCCCAAATTGCATGTAGTGAAATTCAGTTTAGAAAAGTGATACAGAGGGTTATTCTGAGTATCCAAATCTCCATGGACTTTGAACAAGCTGTTTCCAAAAGGGCATAGGAAGGTTAGCAAATTAAACAGATAATATTTAAATCACTTTTCCCTTTCTGCACCAGGTGTTTTAAAATAGGTTAAACAATAATTAAAGAGGAGCATCAGGTTTGGGAATATACCCTATGCAACCACTGCCCTAAAAACTTATTTCACTGACATTAGGGTAAATAATTATTAAGACACTAATTTTAGACTTACTCTTAATTTCAGCAGGAGCTAAGTGTATGTCAATGTGCTTTGTCATGAAATGAAATTCAATAATTCCCATGTGTGAATGGATAAGTTTTCTGTGCTCCAACCCACCTTATGGTTTTTATTAATCACTAACCAGGGCTATCCTCCCTGTGCTATGGCAGTGGTCAGCAAACTTTTTCCATAAAGGACCAATAGCTCACATTTTAGACTTTGCATGACAGCTACTCAAGTCTCTCATTG